AGGTTGCATTGTGATTTCGTCGTCGTCGTCGTCGTCTTCCTCCGCTTATCCGGGTCCGGGTCGCGGGGGCAGCATCCCAACTAGGGAGCTCCAGGCCGTCCTCTCCCCGGCCTTGACCACCAGCTCCTCCGGCAGGACCCCAAGGCGTTCCCGGACCAGATTGGAGATGTAACCTCTCCAACGTGTCCTGGGTCGACCCGGGGGCCTTCTGCCGGCAGGACATGCCCGAAACACCTCCCCGGGGAGGCGTCCAGGAGGCATCCTGACCAGATGCCCAAACCACCTCAACTGACTCCTATCAATCCGGAGGAGCAGCGGTTCTACTCCGAGTCCCTCCCGAATGTCCGAGCTCCTCACCCTATCTCTAAGGCTGAGCCCGGCCACCCTACGGAGGAAACTCATTTCGGCCGCTTGTATCCGCGATCTCGTTCTTTCGGTCATTACCCAAAGCTCATGACCATAGGTGAGGATTGGGACGTAGATCGACCGGTAAATCGAGAGCCTGGCTTTCTGGCTCAGCTCCCTCTTCACCACGACAGATCGGCTCAGCGTCCGCATCACTGCAGACGCCGAACCAATCCGCCTGTCGATCTCCCGATCCCTCCTACCCTCACTCGTGAACAAGACCCCGAGATACTTAAACTCCTCCACTTGAGGTAAGACCTCTCCCCCGACCCGGAGGTGGCAAGCCACCCTTTTCCGGTCGAGAACCATGGTCTCAGATTTGGAGGTGCTGATCCTCATCCCAGCCGCTTCACATTCGGCCGCGAACCTACCTAGCAAGAGCTGAAGGTCAGAGCTGGATGAAGCTAGGAGGACCACATCATCCGCAAAAAGCAGAGACGAGATTCTCCTGCCACCAAACTCGACACACTCCACACCACGGCTGCATCTAGAAATTCTGTCCATAAAAGTGATGAACAGAACCGGTGACAAAGGGCAGCCCTGGCGGAGTCCAACCCTCACTGGGAACAGGTCCGACTTACTACCGGCTATGCGGACCAAACTCACGCTCCTCTGGTAAAGGGACTGAATGGCCCTTAACAGAAAGCCACACACCCCATACTCCTGGAGCGTCCCCCACAGGGTGCCCCTGGGGACACGGTCATAAGCCTTCTCCAAATCCACAAAGCACATGTGGATTGGTTGGGCAAACTCCCATGCCCCCTCCATCACCCTTGCAAGGGTATAGAGCTGGTCCACAGTTCCACGGCCAGGACGAAAACCACATTGCTCCTCCTCTATCTGAGATTCAACTATCGATCGGACCCTCCTCTCCAGTACCCTGGAGTAGACCTTTCCAGGGAGGCTGAGGAGTGTGATCCCCCTATAGTTGGAACACACCCTCAGGTCACCCTTCTTAAAGATGGGGACCACCACCCCGGTCTGCCACTCCCTAGGAACTGCCCCCGATGACCACGCAATGTTGTAGAGACGCGTCAACCATGACAGCCCTACAACATCCATAGCCTTGAGATACCCAGGACGTACCTCATCCGCCCCCGGGGCTCCGCCGCTGTGTAGTTGTTTGACTACCTCAGCAACTTCTGCCCCCGAGATCGGACAGTCCATCCCCAGGCCTCCCAGCTCTGGTTCCTCCTCGGAATGCGCATTGGTGGGATTGAGGAGCTCCTCAAAGTATTCCTTCCACCGTCCGACTATAGCCTCAGTTGACGTCAGCAGCTCCCAATCCCCACTGTAAACAGTGTGAACGAGTTGCTGCCTTCCTCTCCTGAGGCGCCGGACAGTTTGCCAGAACCTCTTTGGAGCCGATCGATAGTCTTTCTCCATGGCCTCACCAAACTCCTCCCACGCCCGAGATTTTGCCTCGGCAACTGCCACTGCTGCACCCCGCTTGGCTATCCGGTACCTGTCTGCTGCCTCTGGAGACCCACAGACCAGCCACGCCCTGTAGGCCTCCTTCTTCAGCCTGACGGCTCCCCGAACCTCTGGTGTCCACCAGCGGGTACGGGGGTTGCCACCACGACTGGCACCGGCCACCTTACGACCACAGCTAGCAACAGCCGCCTCGACAATCGCAGAGTGGAACAAGGCCCACTCGGACTCAATGTCCCCCACTGCTCTCGGGACGTGGTCAAAGCTCTGCCGGAGGTGGGAGTTGAAGACCGTCTTGACAGGTTCTTCTGCCAGGCGTTCCCAGCAGACCCTCACTATGCGTTTGGGTCTGCCAGGTCTACGCGGCATGTTCCCTTGCCATCTGATCCAACTCACCACCAGGTGGTGATCAGTTGACAGCTCCGCCCCTCTCTTCACTCGGGTGTCCAAAACATACGGCCGCAGGTCAGATGATACGACTACAAAATCTATCATCGACCTGTGACCTAGGCTGCCCTGGTACCAAGTGTACCGGTGGGCATCCTTATGTTCGAACATGGTGTTCGTTATGGCCAAACTGCGGCTTGCACCGAAGTCCAATAACAAAACACCGCTCGAGTTCAGATTAGGTGGGCCGTTCCTCCCAATCACACCCCTCCAGGTCAAGCTGTCATTGCCCACGTGAGCATTGAAGTCCCCCAGCAGGACAATGGAGTCCCCTGATGGAGCACTATCTAGCACTCGTCCCAGGGACTCCAAAAAGGGTGGGTACTCTGAACTGATATTTGGCCCATAAGCACAAACAACAGTCAGGACCCGTTCCCCGACCCGAAGGCGCAAGGAAGCTACCCTCTTGTCCCCCGGGGTAAACCCCAACACACAGGCAGAGAGTCTCGGGGCTAACAAAAAGCCAACCCCAGCCCTCCGCCTCTCACCCGGAGCAACTCCAGCAAAGTAGAGTGTCCAACCCCTCTCCAGGTCTCGGGTTCCAGAGCCAATGCAATGTGTCGAGGTGAGTCCGACTATATCTAGCCGGTACCGCTCAACCTCTGCCACAAGCTCCGGCTCCTTCCCCGCCAGCGAGGTGACGTTCCATGTCCCAAAAACTAGTTTTCTTGTCCGGGGATTGGACCGCCAAGGCTCCCGCCTTGGTCTGCCACCCGATTCGCATTGCACCGGACCCTTCATGTTCCTCCTGCGGGTGGTGGGTCCACAGTTGGACGAGCCCATGTATCCGGTTCGGGCTGGGCCCGGCCGGGCCCCATGGGCGAAAGCCCGGCCACCAGGCGCTCGCTCACGGGCCCCAACCCCAGGCCTGGCTCCAGGGTGGGACCCCGGTAACCCTCCGGGCCGGGTACTCCGACTCTTCGTTTTAACCGCCATGGAAGATCCTTCGAACCGTTCTTTGTCTCACCCTTCACCTAAGACCAATTTGTCATGGGAGACCCTACCAGGGGCACTAAGTGCCCCAGACAACATAGCTCCTAGGATCATTAGGGCACTCAAACTCCTCCACCACGATAAGGTGACGGTTCAAGGAGGAGTGATTTCTTAGTAAATATTCTATTTGGTGAGAGATAAAATTTATTGTATTTATCCTAGTGAATCTATAATTAAACGGGTAAACTAGTAGTAGCACATTCAACGTCAAAGAGAGTAAAATGTTATAATCAGGAGAGGGAGAATGTTTAAGTGGTTAGCAACAGTGTGCTAGACGATGGCCCCCTCCATGAGGCCACCACAGCTCAGCAGTAGTGTTTAGATTTCTGATCACACCTTCATTCGTGCAGCAGAGACGGTGGAGATAGTTTCCTTCATGCATACGTGGGTTTTCTCTGGTTTCCTCTCACAGACCTGTGTGTGTGTGTGTGTGCGTGCGTGCGTGTGTGTGTGTGTGTGTGTGTGTGTGTGTGTGTGTGTGTGTGTGTGTCAGTAGTGTAGGAGCTTCTTTCCTACCAACCAGAGCCAACAGGTAAAATTTATTCTACATGTGCAAATTTACTTTTGCTATTTCTCATGTTGGTTTTGCTAAAATTACAAAAACATGAGAGTCGGTACTTCATATGCACAGCTGTCATCTTCAAATGGCAAATGCAAATTATTAATCTCTCAATAATGTGCAATTGCTGTTCATACATTTTAAAATATGCAACGCTGTGGTTAACATCTGTACAATAGTTTAGATTGCACACATGCATAATGTATTTAATGCTTCTGTTGTGAAATTGTCCCAACCAAATTTCTTTGGTGCAGTTTGTTTCTGAAAACAAAAGCAGCAGAATTAACGTCTATAAGTCTCCTTTGGGTGTTCTTAATGTAGAAATGTGCAATATTGCTGTGAATATTTGTCATGTGCTGTTTCACAACGTCTACTTTCAGTTGTTCACACGCTTTTTTATATTCTGCTGCCGCCTGGAGAGAGGCAGGAAAGCCACCTTCATTTGTGTGTTGTGATCTTTATTCTGTGTTACATCAGATAAAAACGGCTTGTCCCTGATCTTAGTTACAACTTTCTGATGTTCTCTGCTGAGACAGAGAAGCAGAGCTTCACCCTCCCCTGCTGCTGCCTAATACTGCACAGAAAAACGTACCAGTCCGGTCCAATCACTGGCATCCAGAACTTATGCTCATTAAGGAAAATGTGCACATTTGACACCCAAATGCACACAACACACCAAGAAAATAATAAACTGCTTACATGAACTCTGGACCTGACATGTGCTGCTGTAGCTGGTGAATGTCGCCACTGTGGGATTAATAAAGTCTATTCTATTCGTTCAGATGTAGAATTTACTCCAGGCTGTCATTCAGACACCTTACATGCAACTTGCAGTGGTCCTTGTTGCCAGAATAACAACACTTCGAACCATAAAGTCGCTTTCATCCCACCCAGACTGAGCAGCAACGGAGGATTGTTAGAGGGTAAAAAAAGCATTTTCCTCCACAGAAAATAGGCGAGATGTTATGTGAAAATCGTTGGGTCACGTGACACATGCACACAGGATGAAAAAGCACATCAGGCCTGTCCTGGGAGCTGCAGCAGCCTCTAACCTGCAGTCTGGGAATAACTTAATGTAACTGTAGATCTTCTTAAGTACATACCGAGGATTTTTCCATGTGGACAATCTGCTGACAGAAAACGAACTGTTGGGGATTTTCAGGACTGCATGGACGAGGAGGTTTTCATTTGCTTATTAATCCACAAAAAAATTATTGTTGATTCAGTTGATCTTTTTATTTATGCAGGTTATTAATGAACACGCAGTTCCTACCTGAAGGCTATAAACGTCCAAACAAGTGTTGGGTTTCATCTGGGCTGCAGCCCGACGCTCCGCCTGCTCTCACCGAGGATATTGACTTTCCCGCAAGTTAAAGAATTTAAATGTGGAGCGAGACCGACGCTGTTTGCACGCTGGAGGCAAACCAGCAGAAATCCACGTGTGGGCGGAAGGTCGGAGCTGGAACTATACTATCTACACTTTATCTGTTTAAAGGTTTTATATGAAGAGAACCGAGTCTGTCATCCATCAGATTTCATCCGAGTCTCAGAAATGGTGCGTAAAGATCCGTGCGTAAAGGTCTCCACTCTGTCAGAGCGCGAAGAGATTGGTTTGCTTCTACTTTAAGAAGTTTGTTTGCAAACGAGACACAAAGAGGATTTGATGGAGGAGGTTTGGTGACAGCGACGGACTTTAGATTTGGATTAAGGACCCGGGAGCGCAGATCTGGTACCTGCGCTGGAGCGCTGACAGTTTCGGATCTAATTGTTCTGAGATTGTTTTTCCATGTGCAACAAGGAGCTCAAGAGCCAACTGAAGCAGAGAATAACTTTTTTTCTGTGGGCTTCCAGCTCCAAACAAGTGGAGTATTCATGAAGCAGTATTTGAACTATTGCAAGATGAGGCTGAGAACATCGAGGCTGGGTTGTCTGTAAGTAACGTCTTAACCTTCCCGAGAAACAGGTGAGACTTTCTTAATTATTTCCCTTCTTTTCTTTTTTTCAGGTTTCTTCAGTTCACTGCGCTTTGCTTTTACGCACAGGTAAAAAAAATGCATCCACGTTGCGTAAACTGATTTGGGTGGGAGTCAAAAGGGACCAGGCGCTTTGCTTTAACGGCCTGTGCCCCTCCAACAGGCTGCAATAACAATGAAAACACTTTATTATGAGAGCTATGGCAATTGGCAACAATTCAAACATCTTGAAAAATGTTGAGCTGCAGCCTAAAGGTAATTGTTAAAGCACATGTGGCCTGAGGACGGTAGAGATGGGGCGGGGGGTGGTGGTGGTGGTGGTGGGGGGGGGGCATGAAAAGGTGAAAGATCATCTGTGGTAAAAAAAAAAAAGACTATTGGAGGCAAATGTCATGATGCCCCCCACCCCCACCCAAAAATGTATTATTATTATTATTATTATTATTATTGTTATTAATAATAATAATAATAATAATAATAATAATAATAATAATAATAGTAATACAAATCCAAGCAGAGCAAAAGACAGAATAAAATTTCCAAACTTCTAAATAAAATAAAATTAAATTAAATAAAGAAGAATGCCATATCATGTTTCTATTGTCCCACAGAACTCTGTGCAGTCCCCTCCTAACTTCAAGCAACATGTCACCGAGCAGAGCCGGCTGTCGGACCGGATGAGCCGCAGACTGACCCGAACCTACCAGCTGTACAGCAGAACCAGCGGGAAACACGTCCAGGTTCTGGCCAACAAGAGGGTAAACGCCAACGGGGACGACGGGGCGGTGCACGGTAGGACGCAGTTTCTCTGCTTTTTTAGGAATTACCGCGAGATTAGACCCTGCAGCTGACCTTTAAATCTTTATTTAATGCTGAAAACACACCTTTGTGGTTTCTTCTATTTAAAACCAGTCAAATTTAAAACAAATCCAGCTAACAAACATGGAGTTTGTTTAAGCTCAATGAAGCAAAGAACAGTGTTGAAAAGCAACATAAATTTTCTAGTTTTGGAGCCAAGAGAAACAGTTTTTATGGCCTTTCAGGTCATTTACTCCCTCTGTGTGTGCTAAGGCCCTGACACCTGAACTTCAGGCACAGGAAAACCTCCCAGAATCACCATTTCTACCCATCTTTCCTCCTCTTGGACCCTGGCTTTATGAGGAATTTTCACTGCTTAACAACTCAGTGAATGACTCAATATATAGGATGCGGTGAAATCAGCAGCTTTCCTTTCAACCTTTTCCACTCCTCCTGTGAGCACATTTGTCTTTTACGTCTCTGTGCCTGCAGGCACTCGTGTTCAGAGAGAGTCGGCCGTGCACAATCTGCTGCTGCACGTCTTAAGTGGGTGTCACTCTTGTAGCCGACCCAAATCCACCCGTTGCTCTGTGCTCGTGTCTCTGACCGCAGCGTTCTCACTCCCCTTCATGCTGTCCGAGCTGCATCGTTTAACACACGTTCACCAGCGCCCGTGCAAAACTCGCTGTGGGCCGTAGGGGTTCGGGGAGAATTCAGGGTATCTGGTATGACTGTTAGATGAGTTTGTGCCGTTTAATGATTAAACGATTGTGTTGTCCTGCAGCCAAACTGGAAGTGGAGACGGATTCATTTGGGAGTCGTGTTCGCATTAAAGGGGTGAAGACAGGATACTACATATGTATGAACAAGAGGGGGAAGCTGATTGGAAAGGTAATCCGGATGTTGTGGCTGCAGAAGGCCACAGCAGCATCTTGAGCTATTTTCTGGGACTTGGTAATGTTTTTCCAGATTTGCAGCATGTTGTTGAGACACACGTGAAGTCTGAATGTATCTGAGCAGCCCTCCAAAGACGTCCAAAAGGGATGCCCCAAGTCCTGGAAAACAGTCCTAACCTTTGTTTTTCTTGTAGAGAAAAGGACGAGGCAAAGATTGCATCTTCACAGAGATCGTGCTGGAAAACAACTACACAGCGCTGCAGAATGCCAAGTACGAGGGCTGGTTCATGGCCTTCACCCGCAAAGGCCGCCCACGCAAGGCCTCAAAAACCAAGCAGCACCAGAGAGAGGCCCACTTCATGAAGCGCCTGCCGAGGGGACACCTGCTGAGCGAGAGGAGACCGTTCGATGCCCTTCCTCTGCCCGTCCCCGTGCAGCCCTTCAGCAAGCGGACTAGACATTCCCAGCAGCAGCGCCCTGGGGGACGCTGACGGCTGAAACCAGAACCACTGCAGGATGTGCTCGGAGAGACATGGCCGTGCACTTTTCCTCATTTGTGGATTTACTCTGTAACTTTTGTTTTTGGTGCTGGACTTCATGTATCTAACCCGTTAGTTATTACAGACCGTAGGAAGGGTTTCTGTTACTAAATCAGGGCTTTTGAGGTACTGGAGATCTGGACCGCGATGTCATGTATGAACTGTTTAGACGTTAGCCAGCTCAGCAGCAACGGATGTTTAAAGGAGAACTGATGAAGCTGGATGCGGCAGCTATGTGTGGTTACAGCCTGAGGCTCGCGTCACTAACTCACCTGCCTGCCTCCCAGAGGCAGCGCGGGACATGTAACCTGCTTGTTTTTCTACATTTATGGATATATTTTTACTGTAAAAATGTAAAATACATCAAATGATGGACGTATTTATTGTAGAGTGTATTTTAAAACCACTAAAGAATAAAGCTGTTTGGCTTCTCTTGAGTTGGTCTCCCCGGAAAAAAAAAACCCGTTTTCCTTTCTTCTCCTTCAAGCTGAAGACCCAGATAACTGAGGGGCAATATCTGTGACAGGCTCCTGAATTCAATGTGCTCAGCAAGTGAGACTTGGGCCTGAATGGGCCGAGCTATGCGTTAAAAGCGATGAGGTCAGCCCACCATTTTGGCCCAAACAAAGGTTACCACCATGTAGTTGCATTTCTCACGATCGCACACCGTAACCCTCTGATCAAATGGGCCTTTGTGGAACCTCAAATAAAGGGCATGTTATACAATAGTGGGTTCGAATAATAACACGAGGAGGGGTCAGTTATCAAAAAGAAGCCAGTCACACAGGGAGGGGTGAGGTGGGGGGGCACCAGGGCCTGTGTGGCAAGATGTGGCATCAAGTGAAAGAGGGGGAATGGCTGGGAAGAGGCATTCGGGAATGAAAGGGAGGCAGAAAAGAAAACTCTTCCCAGACGCAGCTGAGCATGACCATCAGAGGCCAAATGACAGGAAGAGCTGGGGCAGAGGGACCCGGGTCCGGTCGCCAAGCATGAGCCGCGGTCCAGACCCGAGTGCACGAACAGCTGCTTCTGCCTCTGATCCTGTCCACACGAAACAGCTGGAATCTCCTCGTCTTCCTAAAAACAACCAGCGTCTTTTAGTCACTTCACAGTTAAAAGCTGAATCCGTCAGGTCCCTCTCGAGAGTCTCCAGAGCAACAATGCAGGCTGGTTTAAATGTTCTCTCGTGTCCCGTCTGAAGAAGACGAGGAACAATGGTGAGCGGGGCCTGTGGTTTTGTCTCTGCTTTCCGCACTTGCTCTCTGGGTTTGGACAAGCGGGAAAAAAATGTTAGGAATCACAAGGCTGAAAGGGTCTATATTTAAAATGTCCACTCTGAACAGCTCCTCTTGGTGTTTTAAGCGTTTCCAACAGGACAGGGATTTTTTCTCCTAATTGGAGTTGGAAGTTGATTAACATTTTTTTTCCTATCAGGTTTAAATCAAACTAAAACACAGAAAGAATCATGAAACGTTCTTTAAATAATCTTTTACGAGTTAAGGTCAAGGCGAGTGAGGATTAACGATGAAAGCAGCTCCAGCGAAGCTTTCAGGGTGGCCAGCGGCGTGCACGGACATAAGGGTATTCATTTAACACGAATGAAGCGTCTTCCTAACCGTGACCTCGGAGCCAACAAGGATGGAGCTTTGTGTGTTCTGAGTGTTTTACGAGGGCAGGAGTGAAAGGAGAGTTGTAGGGTGTGTGACCCTCGTAACGCCGCCCCCACCAGAAAATACAGCACACCTCCATGGTTTCAGAACGATAAAGGTCAGGTGACATTCAAACGTTTTTATATTCAGAAAAACAAATTCAACAAACATGTTCATGTCCTTTACTTCCACAACTAAAATGATGAAAATCGTCACAATCAGAGGGCTAAAACCTGAAACAAGGCACTGACGGTTAAATAAACAAACTAACAACAGCTTCTGTGTGAGCTGACAGTGCAGCGGCCGTCCTTGGTTGTTGTTTTGCTCACAGTCAGAATTCACTGAGTTTTACAGTCGGCGTCTCCTTCAGCCGCCCCCTTCAGCTTCTTCAGCTCCCTCAGGACTTCCGTCTCCAAGCTCAGGACGTCTTTGGGCTTCGCGTACTGATCCAAAATAAGAGAAAAGCATCCATCCTCACGCCTGATTCTTCACAAAGATCAGCAGAGTAAACTAAAGAAAAGCTAACTAACTAAATGTGAGTGTTAAAAACTAAAAATAACATCACCCTAATTATTTATACAGATTATGGTTTGCAGGAGCTTCTCTTATCACTTGAAAACAAACATACTTTTCCTATAGTTTGGCAGATGATGCTGTGTAGGAGCACGTCTGAAAGGAATCACTTTAAACTCCTGCGTGTCTATCAGAAAAGTCATGTAAAGATATGAATCCTTCGTTCCTGATTTCTCAGACTTACGCTGATAATTAAAGTGTTGTTGGCGTGCGTGAAGCTGAGCGCAGACCTCTCAAGGGGCAGCTGGCTTCGATCCAGATCAGGAATGGTGAACTTCTTATAATATCTGAGGAGACAAGAGGAGAATGTTACAAGTCAATCCTGCAGCTCTGAGAATCGTGTTGTAAACAGCGCCAGCTTTAGGAAAGATGGGAGGATCGCACACAAGTGTGCTCAGAATGATCCAACAGCCAGTAGTCGATATAAATGTACTTTTTATTTGAGGTCTTGATGATGACGCATCTCTCAGGAGGCTCCACTGAAACACTGAAGACATCTCTGGGGTAGGGAAGGTTACGGACTCTCCACTGAAAGCTGGTTTTTGTGTCTTTACGCATGAAAACGGGCTGAGGAAACAAGCCAGAAGAAAAAAATCCCTTTATTTGCACACCTATGATTCTATAGTTCTATTGCAACAACAAAGTTAACAAAAATACTTACATTGGAACAATTTTCTTTAATCACATCCGAGTCCAGAGATGCAGTTACGTTAAATGGCTCTCCGACTTCCACCTGCCAGAAGCTTTGAACTCCCAGTGTGCTTTTGTGGCGCCACTTTCTTACTATTGTGCAAAAAAGTTTTTTTTTTATCATCTTAAACTAATCCAGTGCATGAACTGATGTGTGAAACTGGCACTGTGCTGTGAGAAACTACAAATATGTTGTTTACCAATGAGCTCATCTGTCTTCACATCATATTCTTCAGCCATTTCTTTTCCATCTGCAAAGAGGTAATGGATCTTTCTCTTTCCTGGAGGTGAAATTCGAACACATTTTGGAAAATCTGATTAAATAGGATGTTTGAGAAATGGAAAACTTTGGTGAAATAATATGTAAAAACACCTATAAGATGTGAAAGGTTGAATTTGTCCCAAAAGATCTATTTCTTAATATAAAAAAAGATGATGTAAATGTAGTGCATCTACAGATGACTGACGGAGTATAATGCTCACCACCTTTTACTGCACTCTTGTGATCAGCTTAGATGCTTAAATGTACTTCCAATGATGCAATGAAATCATCACTAAAGAGGCTCAGAATTTTCATCTAAGGTTCAGTGTTTGTAGGTGCAGAAGTCTGCGTGTTTAAACCTTTGCAAACAAAATTCTACGTACATCAATCAATCAATAAATCAATCAATACTTTATTAATCCCAGAGGGGAATTAGAGTTTCAGTACACACAATTCAGATTTATTTATTTGCATTCTCATCAAACCATTGAAGTGAACTTGGATTACTCAGAGAGCACATACTGTAAAGGTACTGTTACAACAGATCCAACTATGTGCTAACAACACCCCTAAATGTAATCCATAAAACACTTACTTTATTCTTATAATTATAACTGTTCGCTGTTTTTGTTTGTTATTGTATCAACCGACATGTTTGAAATAAATGTAAATAATTAGCTAATCCAATGTTCAAGTTATTCAGCTAAAATGTTATTATCAAAAACAAAACAACAAGCACACAGTGAAATGTTAATTACATTATAACCTTCATTTAAAAGAAACACGGTTTTTAAAACGCACATTATATTCATGCTAGTTTAGCTGTTTGATGGATTACGCCGTTAGCTCGTTGCCTAGCAACGCTGACTAGCTTTAAAGCTAGCTACCAGATAGAGACGTAGATAAACCAGCTTGTCTGGAACATATAAATCAAACAAATCCAAGTTCGGTTGAAAATGTTATTATTTTCATTTACCGTCGTGAATCAATGCCGTTTTATTTGCTGATTTTAGAACATCGATCCAGCTTTGCTTAGCCATGATTCCAAGACGCGTTTAAATAGCAACTTCCGGGACAAGCACGTAACCACAACAACCAAAGTCAACACACACAAAAGAAAATTATATAAACATATTGTTTGGACTTTTAAACTATATAATAATATGAAAACCATTAAATGTGTGTGTAAGTTAAAAAAAACGGTGACAATAAAGTTTACCAAAAACTAGCCGGACCCATTTGAACCGGAAGTGAATCATTTAAATAGAATTTCTGAGTTCCTGGTCCGCCTGAGCAGGGGTAATTGCTGATGTTTTGGCATTTAAAGTGTTTAATTGTGTGAATATGTTCTGAGGTGTCGTGTGGAATGTGTGGTTGTATAAAACGGTGTAAATACTGATTAGTTGATTTGTCCTACGTTAGCTACCTTTAGTCGTAGCTAGCTGACCATACATTTTAATGTTTCCCTTTAGATAACGCGTTTTATGTTAGTGTAGCAGGATGAGGTAACAAAATATTGTCTTTAAGCACCATACTGGCATGCAGTAATGTTTTATGATGTTTTAGAAGTGAATGTATGCTGTAATAAGATTTTGCTGCAGATGTTTAGGTTGTTCCCAGTTTAGTCCACTGTTTGTTTACTTCATGCCTCAGGCCATCGGCTCCTCTCTTCTACTAACAAGATGGAGCCTCGTCACGGGATCATGAAAGCTTTCCCTAAAGTTAAAAGAGCTAAAGTGCTACAGGGAAAGGATGCGCCCGTGCTGAAGAAGAAACTTGATGAGTGTAACGTCACAGGTGATCAATCTGATTTTATGTGCATTCAAGCAACAACTTATGAAACAACTTGTTCCTTTTAAAACGTATTAAGAGAGCCAATAAGAGAAAATGAATTCTGTTATTCCTCCAAATAAATAAAGTATTCCCTTTGCTTCTTCTATTCTTATTTTTCCCTCCAGGAAACTTTTTTAACGACGTCACAGTGTACCTTCTGCCGGCGGGAATTGGAAAAGCCAGATGCCAGATCTTCCAGAGACAAATCCAACAGAATGGAGGGCAGATCCAGAGTTTCCTGAGTCCCAGTGTGACTCATGTGGTTGTGGATGACAGCATGGACTGTCACAGAGCACTTCGCTTGCTGAAAGTGGATTGTGTGCCGTCTGGTGTCCATCTGGTGAAATGCAGTTGGTTGAGTCTGTGCATCAGTGAGAAAAACCTGCTGGATGTGGAAAACTACAGCCTTCTTTTACCCACAAGGTTCCTATCAGTATTTATTTATTTAACAGTTCATTTTTTCTCTAGTTTTGTTATGTGTTTTTCTTCCACTGTTAGGTGTCCTTGGGCGTCCTCAAAAAGGCTTTTAAATAATACACATTATTAATATTATGATTATTATTAGTTATCTAGTCAGGATGAATGTCTGTCTTGCAGTGATTGGGGTTTGTGGCAGTTTTCTACACTCTCAATTAGGGTTGTCACGGTATGAAAATTTAACCTCACGGTTATTGTGACCAAAATTATCACGGTTTTTGGTATTATCGCGGTATTTTTTAAACGGTGTTGCATATGTTCAGAAAGCATTGATAGTCGTGTTCTACACAAACTGAAATAGTTTTGAAAAGGTTTAACAGTGTTTATTAAACCTAAAATAACACAAAGCCTTAGCAAAAGTGCAACTTTTCACAAGTAAAGGAACAAATAGCTTCTTTTTCTGGAACATGTTACAGTAGTCAGTGCAGGTTTAAATGATACAAATCCAAACATTCAAAACATAAACAATATGTAAACAAATCAAATAAACACCACTTGTTTTCTCATATACTTGTTTTCTTCATTATCAAAATGAAAATCTAAAACTCCAGTCCACACTTGACTTGAGCACTGTACAAGTCAACCTTAAAAAAAATGTAGTTAAAATAAATAGCCACTTTAAACAAATTACTAAAATAACTACTACACTGTGTAATCAAATCCAAATGTTCAAGTATAAATGGCATTGAATAAGTAAACAAATCAATGACAAGGAACTAATTGTATATTTCTCTTCATCATAAACAAATAAGATGCTTCATCCAGCAACAGCGTGTCCGTGACACGGTTTAAATGCTGGCAGAGGACGCTGCGGCTGCAGTCTATAGTGACTCGTTGCATTCTCCCTCAACCAAAAGTCCTCACGTCATGCATTTAAGCTAAAATGCTAATGCTAACTTACCTTGCACTGGCTGTAGAGACGTGGGTGATGGTCACGCAGATGTGCCATGAGATTCGAAGTGTTGCTGCCTTTTGCAGACTCTTGTTTCCTGCACGTTCTGCAAACGGGATAGCCGTCTTCTATTAACTGTCCCTCAGCGTTTTTCAGAAATCCAAAATATGCCCATACTTCCGATTTAGTCTTCTTTGAGGGCTGATGGATGTCCTGGGCGCTGCCGTCTCCTCCTTCGGCCATTATTTCAGCTTCAAAGTTTTGGTGCCGTTACAAACTAAAAGTGCGTGTGCGCGCGCCGCGGGAACTTCAGCTGAAGCGACGGTGGCTGGTAAGGGTCATCGCGCCGAAACCGCGGCCACGGTAAACCCACCGAGATAATTTAGTTTTTTAAAAACTGGACGGTTACTTTTATTGTCAACCTTTTTACCGGGGTTTACCGCTATACCGGTTACCCTGACAACCCTACTCTCAATAAAGAGGACATTTTATGCTGAACTCATTTTGTGCTGACATGTGGGTCTCTACTGCCTCCATAAACACGCAAAATGTAAAAAAGTTACCTGACAATTCATTTCCTGCCTGTGTTTGTTTTTTGGATTTGTTTCCAAAAGTCCCCGTTTGTGATCAGGAAAATAATTATAGAACCACCTCTCTCATGTGCAAGAGAGAACTGCTCCTGAGGGATGATTGGGCGTGGCCGTCTCCAGCGTGTTTTCTTAAAGTGACAGAACCGTGAAACGGCTCATTGTGGAAGGTCCTGAAACTGTTGAGAATAAAACTGCTGAAATCACTTTAGATGTGAGGAATTAAGTACAAAGAACTTTATAAACATGTTTTGGATCAACCATAGAACTATTACAACTAAATATTACTCATAATATGTCCCCTTTAAATTTTAATACACAATTATAATTTCTATAAATGATCCGTTTTATGTGTTTATCAAGGAATTCAGAAACAAAGCTTGAAAATACAGAAAAGGAATCTGAAAATGTCAAACCTACAACAAACGCTGCTGTGATGCCAGAAGACACCAATCTAGAGGAGACTAAAGACTCGGTGGGTTCCCAGGTCACATTGATTCTATTTGTTTCGGTAAAAGACGAAACTAAACTCTTTGTTTTATCATTATTACAACTTTGTATCCCATCCTGCTCCCAGACAGTCCCAGAGAGTAAGGAAGAAGGGCGTCCAGACGAGGACGGTGTCTCTCAGAGTGACCTGGAAGCTCTCATCACTGGTCAGCACCCAAAGGCCGAGACTCCCAGCTTCAGCACAAACCCCAATCCAGATGCTGCTGCTCAGGAAACGGTGTCGGGGAAGTGGGTCTGCGCCCAGTCTTCTCGGTCCAAATGTAACAACTTCAACAAACACATCACAGACAAGCTTGAAGTGCTGGCCAAAGCCTACACACATCAGGGGGACAAGTGGAGGGCACTGGGCTACTCCAAGGCTGTCAACGCTCTCAAGAGCTACCACAAGCCTGTCGCATCATACCAGGTAATCCAGGAGCTCTCAGGGGAATCCTTCTGAAATCATCTAATAATACAGGAACGTCCATCTTGTGTTTGGCAACAGGAAGCTTGTCAGATTCCCGGAATAGGGAAGCGCATGGCCGACAAAATCGAAGAAATTATGGAGAGCGGTCACTTGAGGAAGCTAGATTACATCGGAGAGGACGTGCCAGTTCTGGAGCTTTTCTCCAACATCTGGGGAGCAGGATCCAAAACGGCTCAACTTTGGTACCAACAGGTGAAAAGACTCCGGTGTCATCAGAGATGATAACATTCTGGTCCTTTTGAAAGACAAAACCTCCGTTTTTTTAGCCACAGTTCTAAATGAACATGCAAAGGCACCTGGGAAATGTAGTTCTGATTTTACAATGACCCACAGACATGTGCAACTCTTCTGTGTCATGCCTTCATGAATGAACTAAAGTTACCCGTTTGGATTTATTTTAAACAACATTAGAAGAGGGCTGCATGATGTAGACGGTATTTTCTGAAAGGTTTGAGGACCAACAGTTGTAGGCAGAGCTACATTTGCATCTTGTGCCTTTGCAGGGATTTCGCACGTTGGAGGATATCCGAACAAAAGCTCATCTGACGAACACTCAGAAAATCGGACTGAAGCACTACGACGACTTCCTGGACAGGATGCCCCGAGAAGAAGCAGCAGCTATAGAGAAAGTGGTAATGAGCCTCCATTCGCCTGAATACCGGCTCGTATCATTCCGTGACCATGATCCAATATGTTTAGCCACTTGTTACACCGAGGGGAGAAGTTCTCCCCCAGACTATGAGCCGGTAGTGAAATTGAAGCCTTGAAACAGGAAAAAGTTCGAGTTGGCTGAATTTTAATGAGAAATCCAGGTTGTTCTCCCAAAGCGGAGCAACCCGGAGGAAGAAAGGAAACCCTGGAACCTGCTGCATCTTAAGCTAGCCAGATGACAGTTTCCTCTGTCTGATGCATGTTAGTTGTTTTCTATTATCGTACTTTTTCCCATCTAAACTGTCAGACAGATCACCGAAGATGTAGATGGAAAAGCAGGTGTTCTCCCTCAGGATGTCAGAATAATCCGTTCTCCCAGCGTCTGGCTGGGAACAGCTTCATCTGCTTGTGGGCGGGGCACAGTCAAAGGAAGAAAATGTACCAAATGCATTGTGAAAAGGTGTAAGTGGCTGTGCGTTAATGGCTTTCTTTTAATTACAAGGAAGTATTTTTCTGTAAACAGAATGTCCTCGCCAGCTTTGAAAATGAGATGAAACGATCTCAGAAGAACAAGCGTGCTCTTATGCAAGGAACTAAAACTGAGCCGAGGTTCTAACAGTGTGGAAAATCAAATATATTCCTGTTGCTTTAGTAGGGATTAAGGTCTTAAGCAGCAGGGGGTCTCCTGTAAAAAGCTGATTTTTGCCTTATTTGTTCTGGTTTGGAGAAAGTTATGATGATGAAATCCGGCTCGGTGGTTAAGTTAGGGTTAGGTGCAGGATGATGACTGTTCTGTCGCTGGAGGATCACGCTCTCCACCATGTTTCAACCATTGATGGGGTTTCAACCCTCTCAGAAGCTCTTTTAGTGGATGAATGTTAATGCCTCGTTGTTCCACTGAACGTTGTAGAAACTCTTTTATTCCTGCTGCAGTGAGTTTTTACAACGAGCATTTTGTATGATAGAGTAGGGTAGAGTAGGGTAGAGTACAGTAGAGTAGAGTAGAGTAGGGTAGAGTACAGTAGAGTAGGTTAGGGTAGAGTAGGGTAGGGCAGGATAGAGTAGAGTAGGGCAGGGTAGAGAACAGTAGAGTAGGGTAGAGTACAGTAGAGTAGGGTAGAGTACAGTAGGGTAGAGTACAGTAGGGTAGGGTAGGGTAGAGTAGAGTAGGGTCGAGTAGGGTAGAGTAGGGTAGAGTACAGTAGAGTAGGGAAGAGTATAGTACAGAAGAGTAGGGTAGAGTACAGTAGAGTAGGGTAGAGTAGAGTAGGGTAGGGTAGAGTACAGTAGAGTAGAGTAGACTAGAGTAGAGTAGAGTAGAGTAGGATAGAGTAGACTTTATTGATCCCACAGTGGGGAAATTCACTTGTTGCAGCAGCATCAAGTGAATTCACTTAAGGGAATCATTTGAAGAAAAATAATAAGAAAGGTACGTGTATTTATACACATAGGCAGTAGTCTAGTATTGTAACCTTCAACCGCTAAAAACCACGAATAGAAAAGATAAAACTTGGGTTCCAACACTGCAGCAGAGATGGGATATTGTGGCATCAACGTCATCTCCATGTCGCGTTTTTGTTCTGCTAGCTTTGTGAACTAGCTTGTTCAGTTTCTTTCTGACTCGGCCAGAGCTGCCTCTGGGTATATAGGGTGTGTGTGTGTGTGTGTGTGTGTGTGTGTGTGTGTGTGTGTGTGTGTGTGTGTGTGTGTGTGTGTGTGTGTGTGTGTGTGTGTGTGTGTGTGTGTGTGTGTGTGTGTGTGTGTGTGTGTGTGTGTTACCCATTAAATTTAGAATTCTCTTTAGAATCCGGACCATAGACATCATTTTTTTTTGTGGGGGGGGGGGGCAGTGGGGACATGCCCCCTCAGTCAATTTTTGTCCCCTGTACTTTTTACCGTCCAAAAACAACATCACGCTGTATTAAAGACACTGGATGAGCAGTAGGAACAAGCAGAAAACAACTGCTTGTGTTGAAGCCTGATTGCCATTGGAACTGTCCAGAAGCTCATCTATTGGCTCTGCTGATACTTGCTAACGTGTGATTGGCCGTATGTCCAATTTTGGGCAAAATTTCAAAAATCTTGTGTGATTTGGCAGTTTTCAGAATATTTTTCCTGCATGACTCTCAGTAGCATGAAGTTTTAGCCCAATATCAGTAAAACTGACTAAGTCACAGCCTTCTAGTGTTTGCTACGGTTAATTAGATCATTATTGTGTGCAGGTGAAGGATGCTGCTCAAGCCACAGACCCAGGTCTTGTTGCCATGGCGTGTGGCTCCTTCCGTCGTGGAAAAGCCACGTGTGGAGATGTCGACGTGCTCATCTCTCATCCTGATGGCAAGTCCCACAGAGGAGTTTTCAGCAAAGTGCTGCACATCCTTCATGATAGCAGTAAGCTCCCTTTTATTCTGTCAAAGTGGACTTTAACTGTTGCCTTGTCATTAAGAAAAGCTAAAAAATCCTCTGAATGTTTACCTTTAAGGCTTTTTGACGGATGACTTGGTGAGCCACGAGGAGAACGGAGAGCAGAAGAAGTACATGGGTGTGTGCTGCTTGCCAGGACCTGGACAACGCCACCGCCGGCTGGACATCATCGTCGTACCTTACAGCGAGTTTGCCTGCTCGCTCATGTATTTCACAGGCTCGGCACATTTTAACCGCTCAATGAGAGCCCTGGCAAAGACCAAAAATATGAGCTTATCCGAGCACTCTCTGAACAAAGATGTGGTTCGTCGGGGTAGCCTGAAAGTCCACGGAGGCGTTCCACTCCCCACACCGACAGAAAAGGATGTTTTTAACCTTTTAGGAATACCCTACAGACAGCCTCATGAACGAGACTGGTGAGGACTTCCTGTTTCCAATCACTTGTAAAAACTTAACATGTAATCATGAAATGTCAAACTTTAATGAACACCCTTAAAGCAGCAATCTGGAGTTTTCCCCTTTCAGGAATTATGTAGGATTTTTTAGAAATCCATAACAGTGATTGTCTGATCATATGTTGTAATATCATGTCAACAGTATGTCTTTATTTTCCACTAAGCCTGCCCCCCCCCCCCCCCACCACCACCCCCCCGTCCCTTAGAGCTCCATGCAATATGAACTGAGCGCCGATCAGCACTAAGTGTTAGACCACCACTTACATGCTGACGTCAATCACAGAGCGTGCTTGAGCATATGAGGACGCGCCTCGGCTGATGTGGAGTTGGCGACCTTTCTCACCTTTCTGTCTTTAAAGTATAAAAATAACGGGCGTGCTTTAGCTCTGTTTGCCAGCTGGAGGAGCGCATTCTTGAACGAGAGGCGTTGCTTTCAGCCATAAATACGGAAGTGGAAACCACGGCTTAGTGCAATACCTTTGTCAGCCAATAGATGGTGCCATCATATAAAATATATAACATCAAATACAGACCAAAAGAAATGATCCGGATTTCATCTTTAATGATAATCAAATCTTAGCTCCTCTCTACACAAACCTTCTCAGCCTGGCCTCTCTGATCTTTTCCTAAACATCTAACATGAGTCGTCCCTCTGCTGGACTCATTCCTGATCCTGTCCATTCTCCTGAAGACAATCTCAGCCTTCTCATCACTGCTACCTCTAGTTCTGCCTCCAGAGCCACTGTCTCAACCGTACGATGTTGCTGCTCTCACCACCAATAAAACAGGTGATTCACGTCTTTGTGTTTGTGACCTTTTTATTTCCACTTTGCAGTTTCATATCAGCAACCCTACTTCAGAATCAAAAGGTTTTCCTGTCATACAGTGGGGCAAAAAAGTATTTAGTCAGCCACCGATTGTGCAAGTTCTCCCACTTAAAATGATGACAGAGGTCAGTAATTTTCATCATAGGTACACTTCAACTGTGAGAGACAGAATGTGAAAAAAAATCCATGAATCCACATGGCAGGATTTTTAAAGAATTTATTTGTAAATCAGGGTGGAAAATAACTATTTGGTCAATAACAAAAATTCAACTCAAAACTTTGTAACATAACCTTTGTTGGCAATAACAGAGGTCAAACGATAGGTCTTTACCAGGTTTGCACACACAGTAGCTGGTATTTTGGCCCATTCCTCCATGCAGATCTTCTTGAGAGCAGTGATGTTTTGGGGCTGTCGCCGAGCAACATGGACTTTCAACTCCCTCCACAGATTTTCTATGGGGTTGAGGTCTGGAGACTGGCTAGGCCACTCCAGGACTTTCAAATGCTTCTTACGGAGCCACTCCTTTGTTGCCCGGGCGGTGTGTTTGGGATCATTGTCGTGTTGGAAGACCCAGCCATGTTTCATCTTCAAAGCTGTCACTGATGGAAGGAGGTTTTGGCTCAGAATCTCACGATACATGGCCCCATTCATTCTGTCCTTAACACGGATCAGTCGTCCTGTCCCCTTAGCAGAAAAACAGCCCCAAAGCATGATGTTTCCACCCCCATGCTTCACAGTAGGTGTGGTGTTCTTGGGATGCAACTCAGTATTCTTCTTCCTCCAAACACGACGAGTTGAGTTTATACCAAAAAGTTCTACTTTGGTTTTATCTGACTACATGACATTCTCCCAATCCTCTGCTGTATCATCCATGCGCTCTCTGGAAAACTTCAGACGGGCCTGGACATGCACTGGCTTCAGCAGCGGAACACGTCTGGCACTGCAGGATTTGATTCCCTGCCGTTCTGTGTGTTAATGATGGTGACCTTTGTTACTGTGGTCCCAGCTCTCTGCAGGTCATTCACCAGGTCCCCCCATGTGGTTCTGGGATTCTTGCTCACCGTTCTCATGATCATTTTGACCCCACGGGATGAGATCTTGTGTGGTGCCCCAGATCGAGGGAGATTATCAGTGGTCTTGTATGTCTTCCATTTTCTGGTAATTGTTCCCACAGTTGATTTTTTCACACCAAGCTGCTTGCCTATTGTAGATTCACTCTTCCCAGTCTGGTGCAGGTCTACAATTATTTTCCTGGTGTCCTTCGAAAGCTCTTTGGTCTTGGCCATAGTGGAGTTTGGAATCTGACTGTTTGAGGCTGTGGACAGGTGTCTTTTATACAGATAATGTGTTCAAACAGGTGCCATTAATACAGGTAACGAGTGGAGGACAGAAAAACTTCTTAAAGAAGACGTTACAGGTCTGTGAGAGCCAGAGATTTTCCTTGTTTGAAGTGACCAAATACTTATTTTCCACCCTGATTTACAAATAAATTCTTTAAAAATCCTGCCATGTGAATTCATGGATTTTTTTTCACATTCTGTCTCTCACAGTTGAAGTGTACCTATGATGAAAATTACTGACCTCTGTCATCATTTTAAGTGGGGGAACTTGCACAATAGGTGGCTGACTAAATACTTTTTTGCCCCACTGTATGTGTGAGAATCACAACATTAGGAAACTGCTGGTGCTAGAAAAAAATTAATGATAAGCAAAAATTAGAATTAAGAAATAAACACGAAATAATATTATAGTGAGGCTATAATTAGAGAAGCAGCTACTATATACAAGTCAGTGTAGGTACAGGTCAGAGCGGGTCAGTTCAGGTACAAACACAACGCAGGGTCAGGTGATTGGAACAAAGCAGCTGCAGTGGGCAGGTCTACGACCAACATTCATGAGGTCTGACCTCAGAGGGGAAGAAACTGTTTTTGTGGCATGAAGTTCTGGTCCGAATGTATCTGAGACTCCTGCCAGATGGGGGCAAGTCAAAGAGACTGTGTCCAGGGTGAGACGGGTCAGCTGTGATCCGACCTGCAACATAAAACACAAAATTCTGTTTTCAGATCATGATTTCAGTTATTAGAGTAGAAACAAACTATCCAGACCCATCTGGTCCTATGCCAGAGAGTTACACCACTTGATAAATCATGTTTCGTCTGTGATTAATCACATTGTTTGAAATGCTAAGTTCACTTGTTTGAACCTGATTACTACCAGACTTGAAGAAACTAGAAATTACAGTAAAATCTGTCTGATATGAAGTGGAAAGTTCATGATTCAACAGTGATAAGAATGTTTTTGCTGCCAAAAAATTCTAAATCCATTCTCCTGGACCCTGCCACTCAGTCTGAAGCTTTGAAAAAGCAACAGACATATTTTAAAATGAAGCCTGCTGTAAAACTACTGTGTAAATTGCCCGACTAGAGGAGGTTGGGCTTTGTCAGACTTCACCCCTATGCTGTGGAACGACCTTCCACTCGAGGTCAGACAAGCACCTTCACTACCGGTCTTTAAGAGTCAGATGACCACTCACTGATTTTTCTGTTGTTTTACCTGTATATTTAACTTTTACTTGTTTTATGTATATCTTTGTATCCATTGAAGGGATCATTGATATTTTGATTATTTTTTATGGATGTACAGCACTTTGGTTCGTTTGCTGGCCGATGGAAAGGGCTTTAGATGATGATGATACTGGTACCGTGGAAAGAATTATTTTCATAAGGTCTAATCAATCAAATTATGGAAACAGTTAGATTTATAGTGAAATATTTGTGATATTTTTGCTAATCAGACCGAGGGTAGACGCATCAACCAATGATTGGTCAACCTCTTCCAAGCCGACCAATCACGGGTCAGTCCGCAAAACCAGTTACGATCCCCGGAACTGTACGCCCATCACGTTGCGCACACGGGTTTGGATTAGGTGACCCACCACGCCACACCCAGCTGACCGAAGCGGAGAGCCTGTGCTCGGAGGAGCGGCTTGTGCAACAGCGGTATCAGGCAGCGGAACCGACAGGCAGCAACCAGTTGAAATGTCCCGGAACCAGAGGAGGCGGCGCACCAAGCAGCGGCCTCTCAGCGCGAGCCGAGCCGACTCATAGTTGCACACGTTCGGACACCGTTTGTGAATAACAGGGCGCACTTGTGTATGAGTTTCCGCGGCGTGTTCTCGGAGTAATGAGAGGCGTGTGTTCGGGTCTCAAAATGGGATTGTTTTTACAAGCTGTCGGCGCTGTCACCCCCACGGAGTCCGCAGCAGAGAAGGTGAGTCAGGGCAGTAAAAACAGAACCCAGAGCTGTCAGCCCAATAAGTCACTAAGCAGACACCTACGCATCTGTCGGGTCGCTTAGCTTCAGCCCCGCAGCATGTCTGCTCCCTTCGGTGTCCGGCGTGTTGAGGATGTTAGCATGGTGGCTAAGTTCAGCTGTTAGCTTCTGTAGCTAACAGTGTTAGCTTACAGCCTCGCTGTATTTATGGTTGACACTTTAGCCAAGTACTAGTTAAATGGATAATAAATCATTTTGGCGTAAATGATACTCCTCTGCTAGACAGAGGTTAATTAACTCCGTCATTTTCTTCTAGCATAAAAGTTTTCATCTGCTAGCTAGACTTTTTGTTTTGACTTTACGTCCTTTGTTTTGACGGCAGTTGGTCAGTGTTGCCCAACTCATTATCAATAGTCATTCTTAAAAATATCAAAAATCAGCAAACCGATTTTTCAGTTAATGACTAAGTACAGAGTTCTGTTTTATATTTTAGTTTATTAATATAGGAAAAAGTTTCCAGAACCGTTCAGAAACGTCCAGGTGGAAAACAGACCCACAGTTTGAGCTATATGGCTAAATAAAAATCATGTCATATTTTTCCGCATCATACAATCTCGATTTTAATCACGATTGTTTTAAATGGCCAGTTTAAACCAGCTCTAACTCAAAAAATAAAATCGTTCTATAATTATGTTTAGTGTGAAATGTAAACATTATCCTTCCCTGTGACGCTAATCATGGTATTTGAACATGCCACTGCCGCAATAGTGCTTTATCTTCAATAATACCAAAAGGCGCCCATGGACATTTTTAAAATTAAAAGTTTTATTCTGGCTAAGCATGCCGTAATTTAATCCATTCAGAGGATGGGGAAAGCAGCTGTGTGACTTAAAATGGTGCTCTGTGAGACCACAAAGAGCAGCGAATTAGGGCGCTGAGGAGGGATTTCTGCTCCAGTTTTCAGCATTCAGAGGTTAGAAACCATTTTAAAGCATTGATGCTGCTTTAAAATCATTTTCTTCCCCTCTGTTTCGAGCCTGACCAGCCATGCCAGTTCTTCCTGATGGAAAGAAAAGGGCCTGGGAACGCTCCCATTCAAATAACCCCACCCCCTGAGAATTCTAACCGAGCCAATCAGGGCTGAGCAGCGTATGTCACACACAGAGACGCTCAGTTTCTCATAAACAACAAAGATGGCGTCTGAAGCGGAGTTTGCTGCGGTACTTTTCTCTGTTTTAAATGACTTGGACATGTCTTTAAACCACAAGACGAAGAAGTGCTAAAAGCCTTTCTTCTAAAGAAAGTTAATGGGTTTCCCCCAGCGCTTTATATGCCTGGCGGCCCACCAGGCTTTGCTTGGCCACCTGCCAGGCTAAGCATTATGCCCCCCCCCCCCCCCCCCCCCCCTTCCCGACCCTGCAGTGTCCGCGGCGCAACGAAACTAGAGCCCTCCATCAGCTGATACTGGTGAGAAACAGCAGGGTTAAGCTTGGTTTATGCTCGACACATTTACTTTCCGCTTGGTGATGCGGCTCGCGGATGGAACGCGCTTCACAACTCGCAGCGTTTATGGTTCGTGCGGCTCGTCTCTGCGGTGTGCCAATATTCTCCCAAACAAACTGAACGGGACAGCATGGAGCTCTACACGGCATGCATCCAACACTACACCATAGTAGAAGTAAAAACTGTTGTTTACAACATGGCATTACAGCATTTTTAACAGCGTCCTCGTCTTTTCCGACAGTGCGAGCTATTTCTCTCCAAGAATTATTAACAACATGTTGATCACGGTGATCTCTGAGAGCTGAATCATACAAATGTCTGTATTTACGAACCTCTGCCATACTAGTTCTTGACGGTCCGCCATGTTTTTCCACGTCCGACCGTCCGCTTGGTTAGAAATTTTCCTAGGTGCGCGTTGCGGAAATTTTGGGCCGTGCGGAGGCACGATGAAGGGGCATGGTTGTTAAAATGACGCAATTTCACTGCGCGGACCTCACGGACGCGTCAAGCATAAACCAACCTTTAGGGTGGAAAGTGTGCAACCCCACCCCCCACGGAGGAGCGCTGTGGGATGGAGCGCGCGAGGCTTAACTCATTTTCCGGGGGAAACCCTGACGTTGTGTGCATCGTTGCCAGATGCCATCTTTGACTACAGCTAAAAAACTACAACATTGCACAGTTGTTATTTCTGCTTTTTTTCTGATTGGTTATTTTTGAGCTGGCTAGTCCCGCCCCTCATGGTGCTGTAGGCTCGTCCTCTGTGTAGAATTGAAGAGGCGAGTCTGGCGGGTCAGGCTATGACCTTGCAGAACCAGCTGCGTGGAACACACTCACAGCTGATTTGCACCTGAAATGCTCCTGATGGGAAGTGATGCTCCGTTGAGTTTGCAGGAAAAAAGCATTTCTCACATTACGCGTCGCATACGCATACTGTTGGAATCTGGTTATAAAAACATTCCAAAACCTCACTTTTCGATTGGTTGCACCTCACCACGTTCAACAGGCTGTGCTCCGGGTATCACATCAAGACAATTCAACATGTTTAATATCACTGATTTACGATTGAAGTGGTCTCAACTTGCTTCAGAGCACTCTTAACACACCGCACATGGCAGGAATATCTGATGAGATTATCTTAAGAGCCATTACAGTAATCAGGGGCATCCTTAAGATTGTTGGAAGGAAGAAATTAGGGCTAAAATCAACATGCTTGTCTTCCTATCTGAACCGAGCTTAAGTAGATCCCTTCAGGCTGTAGAGTCCAGACTTCACCATGACCCCAGCCACTAATCTCTAGCTGCAGGATCTGATTGCTGCCGACCGATCCTTTCATCAGCTCTTCATTAGAGTTGTTTATATTCTAATGCACAGGGATGTAACCAAAGCTTCCTTTTACCTTTAATCTGCAGACATGAATGAGGATGATTGTTAGGCTGTCCGCAGATGAGGGCCAGCGTTAATCTCACCTGGACAGATGCTTTTCATGGTTCTGTTCTGTCTAAATGAGTTCGTCTTCATACTCGGCTTGTTTTCTTTTTCATCTCACGTGTTTTGGATGGATAGTTTACCTTATATGTTTGTGTAAAATTTATATTTAATAGTCAACTCAGGCCTGAAAGCCTCACAGGTTCACTGCTAGCTGGGTTGTACAGGAAAGGAGCTATGGGAATCAGAGCAGCTGGAGTTACTCAGGAACAGAACATCATGTGGCCTTTAAGTCTCTGTTCAGCACTCTTCTAATGGAATGTCATAAGTTCCTCTTGAGGTTTGAAGCTTTGGTTAAAAGCAGTTTGACTTGTGTGGTTCTGGTGTGATCAGCCATTCCTAATTTATGCCTCAGTGTCTGGATTTGCTTCTTAGAGCTGTTTTTGTTGCTTTTCTCTTAAACGTCTCTCAACGCCTTATTATCATGCAGCGCTGTGTGTGTGTGTGTGTGTGTGTGTGTGTGTGTGTGTGTGTGTGTGTGTGTGTGTGTGTGTGTGTGTGTTAGAGTGGATAGGGATGACTCGGAGGGCGACTGAGTATGTTTTGGAGATCTCAGTAGGATAATAACCCAGGAGGAAGAGGGAGCTTGTCTGGATTCTGGATCATCATGCCTCTCGGTCCAGGACCTTCGATGGTAACTTGTAGACTTGGCATGAAGACTTGGTGTAAAATAGCTGGTTACAAATTGTTTTAGACAATCTTGGCAGAGTCCAGAAGTCCTTATTAAGAAAATTTAGCACCCTATCTCCTGTGTTTTTGATCATATTACTCAGATGATCGTTTTCCTTTTGGCACAACCAGATTATTATGGATCTACAGGCTTGTTGCGGATCATCCATTTAGGAACACTGGTGCTCCCGACAGCCTGTGGGACATCGGACGTAGAAAAAAGGTAGAATGGCTGGCCCTGACAAGTCTATAATAGGTGCAGACAAGCTAACATTTCGATAAGAAATGTCTTCTTCAGGATAATTATTTGTGGTTTTTCTCTTGCCAGCTTTTTCGCAGGTTTGAATATCAGCAGCAGGTTTAGTGGCGGTGACTTTGTGGCCGAGCTGTTTGCTGTATTGACTGTAGAAATGATTTCTGGTGACAGCACACTACTACTGAAAGTAAATGCAGGAAAATGGTTTTGTGTTCTGTTGACCACGTGGTCTAATTCCCCGTCCCGCTGGGTTCGTGAAGAACTTGCTCTCTTTTGTGTTTTTTATGAGTTGGGGTTGACAAATCTAGTCATCAGCCCACATAACATAGAGACAATGTGTTTCGTTGCTTGTGCACGTTGGTCCTCGTTACATTTTCCACCAGCTAGAAGCTACTGGCATGAGTATGCCCACTCACATCCCAGAATGCAAGACAAACCTGGCAGCAAAATGGCATTTAGTTGATGTTTAAAAGTGGTTGTTTAGTTGGATCAAGGTACGATGACGTGAAACGACCATCTCTGGAGTTCATTTGGATCTGAACTGAGAGAATCTCCTCCTGTGGGTCTCCCGTACGGTCCTTTTCTTCTGCATCGTAGCATGATTACTGCGTTTACACCTGAGCAGACGAACTGTCTACAAAAGGATTATCTAAGTTTAAAGGCAACACACACAAAACTCACATTTACCGTCTTTTTGTGCTGCCACACAGGTCTACTACCGGTATAACCTCTCCAAACGTATGAAGACAGCCCATCTGTTTTCCGTCAGTGTTGGTTTTAGGATTGGTGTTTCTGCGTTAGCGTTGGCAGAGAACGATGTGTCATCAGTCATCTTTAGTAGAAAAACAAAGAATTAATATACAAAACGCTTTTTCAAGTTCTTGTTTTAAACACAGGAAAGGTTTTATTACCTTGCTAACAGTTTCAATCGTTCCTATGATCTTCTTCAGAGCTAGCCGCTAATAACGGGTTCACTTTCTTCTCCGTTTATCTGTGGGCAGCAGAGGACAGTGTCGCCTTCTGCTGCCCGCGCTCTCCTCACCGATGACACAGTTCCATGCATGATCTAATGTGTGGACTCCCT